ATTTATTGTAGAGATGAGGTCTCACCAAGTTGCCCAGGCAGGTCTCGAACCCGTGGGCTCAGGCAATCCACTCACCTCAGCCTCCCAAAGGTGCAGACAGGCTGAGCCACTGAGCCTGGCAGAACCTTTATTCTTTATGTCTCTATGAATTTGACTACTCTAGAAACCTCCTGTAATCATACCCTATGTGGAATTATACTATGTGTGGAGTCATACAGTATTTACCCTTTTGTGACTAGCCACTTAGTATAATGTTTTCACAGTTCATCCATGTTGTAGCATGTGTCAGAACTTTATTCCTTCTAAAGGCTACCACATTTTGCTTATTCGTCTCTTGATGGACATGGGTTGTTTATACCTTTTGGTTATGATAAATGATACTGATATAAAAGTTTGTGTACAGGTATCTGTTTGGGTCCTTGGTTTTAACTCTCTTAAATATGTACCTAGGTGTGGAATCCTCTTTGAGGGAATGTCTTTTCAAGTCTTTTGCCCGTTTTTAAAAACTGGGTTGTTTGTTTTTTGTTGTTGTTGAACTTTAGGGATTCTTTATATATTCAGAATATTAATCCTCTAGAATTCTACTTTTTTTAGATGGGGTGAATGATACCAGAATTCTACTTTTTAAAAACTTTATACTCTTATGTGCTTTTTGAATACTTTATCATGTCCACATTACTTTTATAGTTTAAAAAAGCTCGTCTGTTAACCTTTCTTTTAAGGAAAGTTTATTTCTAAACCAAAATAATGACAATGATAATCTGAGACGAAAGGACAGCCTTTCCGAAAGGTCATTCGGGAGCCTTCCCCTGACATTTCTGTGTGCTGGCATGGTAACTGTCCTTGTGGTCCTTGTTCTGCTGCAGCCTGGCAAAAATGTGAGCACCATGCAGAGTGAGGTGCTGACGAAGCCCAGGGCGTGGCCCTGGCAGGTTCTCTGATGTCGTGCTTTGGCCACAAGGAAGTGTAGGCAAGAACATTGGTTGTGAATACTCTCTAGTGTGTGTCTTGGAATCGGGTAGATCTGACTTCTAAACCTGAGTTTTCTTGACTTTGAAAAGGGTCTAATACTTACCTTGGGCGGGGAGTTGTAAGGATGAAATGGGCCCAGTCTCTGACTGGTGAATGGTAGTTATTAACTCAGGGTGCTTATTTAAAGGATAGTGGAGCAAGAGGGATTCAGAAGGAGCCTAACAAACTGAAACAAGAACTGGTCCAGAGTGATCTGTGTGGGCATGCATATTGTATATAAATAGACTCAGTAGCCTTCAGAAAATCTTCTGCCTGTTGCTATGACCTTGAGTCAACCCTGTGTCTCATGGGGCTAATGTCACTGGATGTCTATGATCTTGGTTCTCTTGCCTCATGAACAAAGAGTTTGACCTGTAAGCAGACCACGAGGTGACCCTCCCTCTGGAGATCAAACTTGAAAGCCTCATTCGAAACTTGTATTCATCACACTGCTGGTCAGAGGAAGAAAGCCAAGTTCCCAGTCTGAGGCCACTTGGTAACAGTCCTTGCCCTAGTCAGGGGACTCTTGTCAGATCTTATTTTCCTAGGACAACTTCTAGAGGCTCCTACCTAATACTTTCTCTCTTCCCCACAGTATTCATGGGCTGCCCTGAGCAAGAGTCAACTCTGCTTGGCACTGATAATGATGACTTCACCATGCTGAATAGCAGGATAGTCCAGGTAAAACACCATGTCTACCTGCGGGACAAAAGAAAGATGCTCTCCTTTATGTCCAAATTGCTGCTAGCCGGGAGCCTTGGTAGCTGTGGGTGCTGTGAGCCAAGTTAACCCTCCAGAGGAGGTAGCGTTAACCTTCAGCTGCCCACAGCATGGGCACAAGTACTGATCTAAGTAGGGCAGTGCCTGAGACTACCCAGGAGGTGTGTTCGCGTCAGGTCGCTGGGACCCAGAGCTGCCTTGGGAGTGATCACCCATTGTACTTAGGTCCCTTGGAGTCCTTCCTTTCATCTTTCTCTCACCCCAAGTGAGAGCAGTTCGACTGCCGATCCTAGGAGCCTCTAGGACGATGGAGCTGGGGTACTTGGCCATGCTTCTGTGTTTTTTTTTTTTTAATTTAACTTTTCAAATAGCTGATATAGCCATGTGGTTCAAAATAAAAGATTAAAAAGTTACACCATAGATGATCTTTCTTTGTCTCATCTGCCTAAAGCTCTCTCCAACCCTTCAGGAGAAGATGTAGATAAGCGCTATTGCCAGTCTCTTTCCTTTCAGAGTTTATTTATATACATTTATATTTTGTATATATGCTGATATAAAAAAAACTTTCCTCTCCTTTTACCCTTCCTTTTACACTAACAGTATATTGTATCAGTACATGTCTTCCCTCTTCCCACAGAAAACCACCGGTTTCCTTTTTTTTTTTTTTTTTTTT